TGACCCTGTTCAGAAAATTGGGTCACCATGTCCTGCGCCTGTCCTCCAGTGACTAACGCTGTCCTCCTTTCCGGCCGGTCGTCCCTCAGAGTGTCTAAAAGGGAACAAACATTCTAGGCTGCCACAGTGTGTAGAGCCAATCGGACGGCCTGTAGGATGGGGCAGAGGGGGTGGGAACGAAGGATGCTGTTTATTTGGTTATTTTGGTCGCAGGTTTTGAGTCTACAAGCCATAGTCATCTTGCAGATGGCGCGGCTTCCAGACATCGACCCAGGACACCTCCGCTAACCCCTTCCCCCTCGCGGAGGCAAGCATCTACCGTGGGTTAGGGCTTTTCTTTGATAAGCTGACGACTCAAAATTGCCTGGGCCGTCTAGTGGATCGCTGTCGTTCACTCCATAGGATCTTTTCAGTTATCGGGAGAATGGAACAAGAAGTATAACCACTGGACGTTGGATATGCACGAAACACACTCCCACTTACCGGATACCCTCATCTGGTTTAACCCGCTGAGCTGTGGCCGCTAGGCGGATCCTAGTTTCGGGGTGCCACATGTGAGCATTGGCTGCCAGTTGGGGGCCGTGTGGACGACGCACATGGAGCGGCCTGTCGCCCCTGCACACAATGCACCCCTAACTTGACACCCGCACACCCCCTGCCGGATGCACTTCAGATGTAAAGAAACCTACTTTCATGTAATTGAGGCCTCACTTTCACTTCAAAAGAAGGACCTAAACTAGTGATTATTAGACCCTTCTAAGGTACACCGGATGTAAGCTTTCGAGCAAAAACACAAAAGCTGAGAACCAACTTATACATATACAGTTTTCTAAGTACTCGAAGCCCCCGTAAATGGTGTAGTCGCGTATGTTTGCACAGAATCCGAGCCGCTTTGATAATATTTCAACGCAAGCGCAAAGACAACCTTGCCAAGGCAATCACCGGAGGACTGTGGTCTACGTGGGAGCAGTATTACCGAGCGCTTCAAATGGTCAATTAAGCATACGGAGCGAGAACCGGGAGTACGACTAGTACCATGTGCTCACGAGTGTGCTTTTGCACTAGAGGTTGTACCCTGACTTCGCTACCAGGTGGTACGGAACTCTATCCTAATACGATCGTACCTGAATTTCATTCTATTGA